GCAAAGAAAAGAAACACACACACACACACACAAGCACACACAAGCACACACAAGCACACACAAGCACACACACACACACACACACACACACACACACACACACACACACACACACACACACACACAAGCACAAGCAACCACACCTCGGAGGTCCATGGGAAAAAGTATTCGAGGACGAGGATGATGGTGGCGAGGGCAGCGGACATGCTGGCAAACAGCACGGGCGCAGACACACCGGCCACTTGGTCCAAGAACACCTTCGACCTGCTCATATTGGCAGTGAATGGTGCGTGGTGTGAGGGGCGTGGCGCGATGTGTGGTGTGATGGGAAGGAAGAGTGTCAGGCGCACAAGGAAGCAAACAGCGCTGTGGGCTGCAGCCTGTGGACATGGCAAACATGCAATGCATGCGTGCATGCAAGCATTTGTGTGTGTGTGTGTGTGTATGTGTGTGCGTGTGTGTGTGTGTGTGTGTGTGTGTGTGTGTGTGTGTGTACACGTGTGGTTGTGTGCACGTGCCTTGGATGGTGGGCGGGGCGGTGGAAAAACTTCACGACAAAGTCATGGACAGCTGTTTGAGACAGATGAAGAAAAAGGTGAAACGAAGTGATTTGAGGAGAAAGGGCGTGGAAACGAGCGATACTGAGATGTATGCATGCGCAACAAGCAGGCCGCTCAACAGCACAACAGTACAGTCTTGCGCAAACACACACACTCACACACAAATGCACACAGGTCCACAAGTGCAAGCACAAAAGCTGCACTCACGATCACCTGCACACGAGTATACACACACACGCGCGCCAACGTACATGCGTAGATGTAGGTGCCGAAGAGGAGGCCGCCGATGGTGAAGGCGGCGTTGGGGACCATACTGCCGGCCTGAATGATCACCATCCCTGGGCACTGCAGTTGGCGGAGGAAAGAGGCAGCAGCAGCAACATGCATATAACATTGAGAATGACACGTGAGCGGCGCGGGAAGAGCATTCAGTGTGTCCTCTGCCCCATCACACACATACACACACATATACATACACATACACACACACACACAAGCGCTTGCTTGCTGGCAATCGTACCGCGCCGGCAACGGTCATGCCTGCGCCGAGCATGGCGGCTCCGATGGCGGTGTCGAACAGACCACGTCGGTACACGCAGCAGCTGTTTGCCATGAGGACAAGCCAAGCAGAGAAAGGCAAAGGGGAAGAAAGGAACACCGCCATCATGCGAGGTGAGCAACAACACCACTCAAGTTGTTGCAGTTGCAACCAACACACACACACACACACACACACACAATACCAGACATGTGAACTGGCGCCGTGTGTGTGGAAGGAGGCGCGAGAGTAGTACGTACGCGTATTCTTCGCGGGCCTTGTGCAGCTTCTTGGGGGCGAGGAACGACAGGGCGAGGAAACCGAGCTGGCCAGCAACAACCGCCGACAAGAACATCTTCACCATGATAAACCTGGAGAACACCATCTGATCACGAATCACCATGGGCTCAAACACTGCAAATGTGTTGTGTGTGTGTGTGTGTGTGAGGGGAGAGCACGTGCAACGTCAGCACCCACATTCGTGTCCTGTCCAAAATCCTTCCCTCTCGCCCCTCCATCCCATCCACAGCCAGCGCAGCGGGGCCAGGCCCCTCTTTACCACACTGACACGTTTCCCCCTTAAAATCATCATCGTTACCTCGAGCCTTCTCCATGGCAATGCCGAAGAAGATGCCCATCACCCCTGTTAAAGAAACAACCAGCGTTGCGCACACGCGTGCACCGTTGAGCACAGGCGAGTCAAACAAGCACGTAGCCATCACAGCCACCACAACAGCTGCCACAGCCGCCACCATGGCACCCTCACAACGCACACCACCCACGACACGCAACAAGCCTGCTTGCCTGATGCCGCAATGGCGATGGGGCGAAAGAGGCCATTGCTGCTCGTCGGCTTCTTCACTTTGTCCGACATGACGATGGCTGGCTGTTCCTGTGTGCAGGTGTATGTGTGTGAAGTGGAAACGTGTGTGTTGCTGTTGAACTGCTGAAGAGTCGTGGTGTATGAGAAATGATGACGGCGATGCTGGGAGTTGGTTGCAGTGGTCCGCCAGCTGAAGCAAGAAGGCAAGCAAGCAAGAAGGTGAGCAGAACGAAGCAATGACGACCACAGAACCAGAACGTATTAGCTGCTGTTAGACTGAATTCAGTGATTGATTGATGTGTCTCTCTGCAACACCACAAAGTGCATACGACAGTTTTGCTGGCGGTTGCTGCTTCGTTCGTGTGTTTTTGTGTGTGTTGTGTGTTGTCTTGAACCCACCACCACACCAACCCTTCTTGCTTCTTGCTTGTCTCGTCTTCTCGCATCGCATCAGCTCTCATCCATGAGTGAAGGGGGTGGAAGCGCACGCCGAGTGCGCGAGGGCGTATCTCGCTCGTACGCAACTGAAAACAAGGCACTGGACGCCCTCGGCGAAGAGGTGGGCAACCACCAAACAACCCCACAGCATTCCACCCACCAATCAAACCTATTACACCAACAACAACACCAACAACAACAACATCATCAACACCAACAACAACAACAACAAAGCCCGTGAACTGCCACTTGCTTGCTTGTCATGACAATGTACTAGCTTGCTTGATCCCGTTGGGCTGCTCTTCCTTATCACCAATTGCCTCTTCTTCTTGTCACCCCATTTCACCTCTCGCCTCGTCTTGCCATCTTGCGCAGGCGGAAGCACGGGCGAGGGAGAGGCGACGAAAGCGCGAGGAAGCGCGCGCCTTGCGACTCCAGCAGAAACTCAACGAGGCAGCACAGGTTGGCGTGGCACTAGAAGCAGCAGTGCTGGTGCTGGTGCTGGTGTGTTGGCTGGTGGTTGTTGTGGTATTTGCTGCAGAATGTTCGTCGACGGCAGTGCACGCAGGCCAGCTTTGTCCTTGCTCACGCACCACCGCAACTCATGGGCTATGCCTGCGATCAACACGTTGTACTTGACCCTGGTACATCCGCTTCCCCTTGCTGACAGGAGCAACGCAGCAAAGAGGACTCAGAGTACAGGAAGGCTTTGGAGGACGCCAAGCAGAAGGCGAAGCAGCGCAGGGAAAAGTCCCAGCGTGAACAGCAGCGCTCGTCAGAGAAGGTGGCGTGCTGCTTGGCCATGTTGTTCCTGTGGACATGTCCACTGCTACGGCATTGTTGTTTGGAGATGGCCACCTGTAACAATCTACATGCGGGTGCACATGCAAATATCAACTGCGCGCACGAGAATGCCACTTGACTCACGCTGATGCGGCGACTTTGTTGGGATAGAGTGTCACCGAGACGCTGGAGGAAGTGGATGATCTCTGCAAGACCGTGTTGGGTGGTCCAGATCGCGACAACGAAAGCGTTTTGGTGCGTGTGCGTCTTTTGTGTGTGTGTGTGTGTGTGTGTGTGTGTGTGTGTGTGTGTGTGTGTGTGTGTGTGTGCGTGAGAGTGAGAGAGAGTGTGTGTGTGTGTGTTTGCGTTTGTCTGTCTGTCTGTTGCAGTGCCGATTGGCACGTGTGCGATCCTCACCCAAGAATTTTTCCTTGTCGGTTGGAGTATCGGTCAACTCCAGCGACCATCACAACACAAGCACACGCACACACTCTCTTTCTCTCCCGCTCACACACACACACACGTGCATGCACATGCCACCACCAACTGCCTCCTCCGTGCATTGTGATTTCTGTGTAGGCCCTGCACGAGCGCGTACGGCTGCTTGCGTCGCATCTGCGCGACACGCTGCTGCACGTGAACAGATTACAGAACCACAAGATCACGGTGCAGTACGACCGGGAGAAGCTGCGCGACAGAATCAACGACCTGGAGGAAGACCTTGCAGAGGCGCGCGTCAGCATTCGCCAGCACAAGGACGCTGCCACGGTCCGCTCTTGCAACAGCTGTGGTGGTGGTGGTGGTGGTGGTGGTGGTTGGTTGGTATGGGAGACAACGAAAAGTATGGGAATGACCTGCGCATGGCTCTATCACACACACACACACATACTCGCTCGCTCACAAACACACACGCACGAACACACACACGAACACACAAACACACACACACACACACACGCACACACACACACACACACACACACACACACACACACACACACACACACACACACACACACACACACACCGGAGACAGGCTGAGCGGGCGGCGACGTCGCGGCAGGCAACACGGATTGCAGAGCTGAAGAGCGAGTTGGAGGAGGCCATAAGCAACAACATCAAGCAGGGCAAGCAAGAACACAGTGCACCTGAAGATGGTGGTGGGTCAAGAAGGGGCAGTGCAACGCTGAGTGATGGCGACAACAACGACGGTGTTGATGGCGACAAATTGCCTGCAAGCAACGGACCTTCGTCACACGACGCAGCGCACGCAGAGGAGACAGCGCGCCTTGAAGGCGTGATTGCGGAGTTGCGAGACGAGGTGCAGACGCTGCAAGACGAGAACGAGGAGCTGAAGAAGGCGCTTGAGGGCGAACGCCAGCGTCGGTCATCCGCAGACAATGCGACGGAGGTGCGACGTGTTTTGAGGAGAGGGGGCTTGTGCTGGTGTGCACACGGCTATTCATGTTGTTCCTGTGTGTGTGTGTGTGTGTGTGTGTGTGTGTGTGTGTGTGTGTGTGTGTGTGTCGGTTCGCGTGACATGACCACCAGCTCACACCTCTTCCACCGTTGCCTTCATGTGTGTTTGTGTGCGTGCGGATACCACTAGGGCGAGGGCGACCTCGACTCGTCCCTGGACCTGACGACAACGGATCCCGCCGCCGCCGCCAACCGCATCCGCCACCTGGAGCGCCAGAACAAGCGCCTCAAGGCCGAGCTGAAGGAGCTGGTGCGCTACGTTTGTTTGTTTCCTTAGTTTCGTTTCGTTTGTTTCGTTTGATTGCTTCGTGTGTGTGCGGGTATATTTTCGTTTGCTTGTTTGTTTGTTTGTTTGTTTGTTTGTTTGTTTGTTTGTTTGTTTGTTTGTTTGTTTGTTTGTTTGTTTGTTTGTTTGTTTGTTTGTTTGTTTGCTTGTGCACGAGTGCCTTCCGCTGCGAGAGCGATTGCGCTGTCCGCGCGTCACGGGATTGCTCCAGGATGTCATCCACAACAACCATAGCTCACCCCGCCTCACGCACTTTTTTCTTCGTGGCAGGAGTCTATGGAGGAGGACCAGCGGAGCGAGAACAAGAAGTTAAAACGCCAGATGCGCAATTTGGAGGCCGACAAGGAGTCCTTGGAGGAGCTTATCAAGGCAAAGGACGAGCAACTGAAGAAACTCAGGTGCGCTCCCTGCCTGTCCCTGCGCCATGGGCCGTGTTTCCGCTATTTGCGACAGTCTCACTGTGTGACCTTGTCACTCACACACACACACACACACACACATACACACACACACGCACACACACACACATGCATACTGCAGGGATCGTCGTCGTCAACACTTGGGGGCGCTTGCAACCGCAAGCATTGATGAGGTCTAAACGTCTTGTTCCGGACAGGTTGATGTGTGTGTGTGTGTGTGTGTGTATGTCGTGCCCGGTTGATCGTCTCTGTGGTTTCGTTGAGTTGTGCATATGAGCGCATGTTTAGCGTTGATGATGGGAGATCTGTTGTTTCTACTGGATGATGATGGGTGGGAGTCGCTGTGTTCTTTGCTCGTGTCCTTGTCGTTGTTGATTGCGCATCTTGCTTCGTTCCGCACACGTTGCTTGTCATTTCATTACACCAATGTGCCATCGTTGGGCCTTGATACAATGTGATGTGATCTCAACGACACACACTCACACACGCACACGAGGTTGAGCTGGTGCACACAGATTTATTGGGTAGGAGGTTTGCGCAAGCGGTGTGAGATGGAAGCAAGGGTGCATTCACCACGGCGTTTGTAGGAGTTTTGTCGTTCAACAAGCAGTGCTTCGCGGCAAGTGCACAAAGCCGCTGCAGACACTTCTAGGAGGATGAACAACACACACGCACACAAACACACAAACACACACACACACACTCACACACACACAAACACGGGTTGGTTTCTCAGGCGCTTAGGCCAGGAGTGCGGCGACAACGGCGGCAGCAACAAAGGCAACGATGCCAGACACGGACGTGGCTGTTGAGAGCGGAAGCGAGCACGGGCAAAGGGTTGTGACTGGGTGAGTAGGTAGCAGCATTAGAGTGAAACACTGGGTGATGCAACACGGCGACCCAGCGATTCACACACGCACGCACGCACGCACGCAGGCACACACGCACTCACGTACGCACTCACGTACGCACACACACACACACACACACACACACACACACACAAACACACGCACACACACACACACACACACACACACACACACACACACACACACACACGCACGAGCGGTTCACCGACCTGAGCTGCTGGCGAGGGAGGAGGGGGCCTCCGTGGCAGAAGCGGCCTCCGTGATGCCCGTCACGTTCTGGGCGCGGCACAGGCTCTCGAGCTGGGCAACAAAGTTGTCAGCGTCAATGCCGTTGTCATCATCATCGCTACTAAACAGGGTGGGGTGTTCCTGTGTCATGGTACAGTGAAGAGAGAAAGGTGACACGGTGAGCTTTGTTCGGTGCAAGTCGACTGTTCAGTCAATGTGCTGTGGTTAGCGTGTCGGCAGATAGTGGCGTGCACACAAGGTGGAAGGCAATTTGATCGTGTCGAACGTACGGTAACGGCAGCACGGAAGGTGCCGAGGCATGCGCCATAGCCAATGATGGCGCGGCAGTCATCCGCTGTGACGTTGCCAGGGCTTGACAAGGCTCGGTCGAGGTAGGGCACCATCTTGCCGCAGTACTGCTTGTTGCTGCTGGACTTGGTGCAGACGGCGCCTGCCAGCGGCATGAATTCGCGCACGTCCTCAATGCCGGAAATGAGGTCGCCATCATCGCCGTCGTCGTAGTCGTCCTGGTCATCTTCGAAAAAGGACGCAAGGTCGTCGTCATCGTCTGCCGGGAGAGCGGCGAGGCAACCTGCAACACCAGCATGTCGGATTCGGAGTGTTCGTGGTGTGTTGTGCGTGAGAGATAGGAGGGTACACAGCATTCACATGAGCAGATGGCAGTGTGTCGACACATGGCAAACGAAAGCAGGAGCATTCGAGCTTTCACGTACACACGCATACGCAGTAAACACGCACACGCACACACGCACCAGCTTCATCGAGGATTGAGACACCGCGGAAGAACTGGCTGATGCAGCGGTTGCCACACATAGTGTCAATGGACGCCGAGTCCTCAAAGTCGAACTCAAAGTCTGGGACTTCACCCTCGGTCAAGCACTTGACGAGGTCCGTGGTGAGTGCCTTGTTAAGGGGATCACGGCACTGCGCGCCAAGCTGCGTCACGAGGAATTCGATTGCAAAGGTGCGGTAGGCGCCAGCATCCATGCCGGGGAAGAGGCCGCCAAAGTCGTCATCACCGAAGCCGCTCTCGGGCACGTCGCCGCACGTGAACTTGAGGACATCGTTCTTGCTGCACGCGCAGCCTCGGCCAACAACAAACGTGCAGGAGTCGCAGTGGGGGCACCCGGTGTAGCAGTCCCCTGCGCCCGAGATTGTGGAGGGGCACTGGTTCATGTGAACGGCGGGAGCATCGATGGAGCAGACGGACACGTCCTCGGTGCTATTGCCGCTGCACAGGCAACCGAAGTTGGGCATGAATTCACAGAATTCGCAGCTTCCATCCGGGCACATTGCAGCCCGGCAGCTGCTCTGGTCAACGACGCTGCTCGGGCAAGGGTCGGAATACGCGATGTCATCATCATGGCCACCAAAGAAGTCATCGTCCATGGAGTACACTGGTTGGCAGCCAAACTCGGGATCAGCGTCGTTCTGCGACATGATGCAGAAACAGGTCGGGCCCGCAGGGGTGTCCATGTAGAAGCACGAGAAGCAAGACGGGCACTGTGCGTCGCAGCTCGCCTGGTCAAGGATGGTGTTGGGGCACTCGGGGTAGGACGGAGAGTCGTTCATTGGTTCATCGTCGTTGTATGCCGGCTCGCAGGCGTACGTTGGCTCGTTGTTCGTGAGCTCGCCGCAGTGGCAGGCGCTCTGACCGTTGAACTGCTGAAATGAACAAAAGCTGCACGTCGGACACTTGGCTTCGCAGCTTGCTTGGTCGACCACATCACTCGGGCACTCGGGATAGGGGGTGCCTTGGGCAGAGGCAACCCTGCACGTTTGTGGGACAAAACAGAGAGCATGAGTGTGTGTATGCAAGTGAGTGTGTATTCGTGTGTGTTTGAGTGGGCGCTTGAGAAAGCAAAGTCACATCATTCGCCAACAACTCACGTGGAAGTAGCTGCCAGCAAACAACCTCCAGGGTCACAACCACGATGCAGCGACAGCAAGAAAGCGCCCCCCCCCAACACACACACACCCTTACACCTCTCTCCCACACCCTTGTTCTTCTTGACTCACGCCAGGGCCAAGACGGCGGCGGCAATAAGGAACTTCATGGCTGCGACTCTGGTTCGCGAGGGGGGAGAGTTGAGGGTAGAAGTGGTTGTGGGTAAATGACCACGCGCCACACAGCGAACCAACTGCTGCCACTGCTGCTGTGCGTTATTCTCTGTGCTTCGAAAAGAAAACGGTCACGCCCCCTTCTCCCAAACTCACCCAACTCAGGACCGAGAAAAACCGTGTAATGCGGATGTAACAATAGGGGGTGAAGGAAGAGGCCGAGGAGGACATAAATTGGCATGGAATTCAAACAATCAATCATCAATTATGGCACTTTGCAGTATTCGACGGTGTCTGCTGGGTCGTCAGCTCTCGCTCGACCGGGGTAGAAGCAGAGGAATGAGTAGTCTGAGATGAAAAACGCGCCAGGGTTGAGCCACACGCAGCCCTCGTATGCCATGGAGGACGTGTCTGTGCGATCGCCCGTGACCAGCACGTCAGGGACCGGGTACAGCTGCAACGCCTGCGAAAAGCCCCACATGACCGGGCGCACGTGCAACGGCAGTGGTACCAGCGTGCTTTGGTCAACCAAGGTCTTGATTACCTGCGCAGCGGTTGATGGGGGGGGGGGCGGCGGTGGAAACGGGGACACAGCAGTTAGAAGAAGTGAGGGCGTGTACAAGAAGAGCAGACCACAGCATGCCACGGCACTTGTCGCCTTCGATCACAAGGGAGCACGATGCAAACCGAAGAAGACACCCACATCTACAAGGACGAATGGCACACACACACACATAACGCACACATAAAACACACGCACACACACACACGCGCATCGTCGTCTCACAGCAGCACGACATAACGCACGTGCAGCTTGATGTCCTCTGCGTCGTTGCCGTCCTGGTCGCGTGGGGGCAACAGACAGTTCCTGCGCAGCTTCGACGTCAGGTCTTCGCGAAACAGCACAATCTCCTGAGCACCAAAGCGAAGCCTAGCATGGAGTAGCGAAGACATGCAGCAGTGGTGAAAGGGGATGCATGTGAGCAGAAGAGGAGGAGGAGGAGGAGGAAGAGGAGGAGGAGGAGGAGGAAGAGGAGGAAGAGGAGAGGTGTGCTGCACACACACACACACACACACACACAGCACACACACACACACACAGCACACACACACACACACACACACACACATAGCACACCTGGCTGGGTTCGTCGTGAAGGTGGCGTTGGGCACACGGGTGCGAAAGCGGCGGGTGAGTGTGGTCGGGAGTGGTGGTCGTGGCAGGATGGAAGGCGAGCCTGGATCAAGGGGACCCGGCACCAGCACAATGTCGCTGAAACGCACACATCAAACGAAGGAGGAGGGAGAGGAGGCGGATGAGTGGAACGAGCAAACGCGTACAGGTCCGTGCGCGCGTGCGTGTGCGTGCGTGTGTGTGTGTGTGTGCATGTGTGTTGTGTGTGTGTGCATGCGTGCGTGTGCGTGCGCGCGCGCGGATGCAAGTGGCCATCCCTCTACCGACGCGCTGTTTGAGAGCCACCGACCTTGTGATGTTAAACTGCGCGATGATGTCCGCCAGCTCGTTGAAGCATTCTGGCAAGGAGTATACACAGTGATGCGAGGAAAAGAAACAAATGGGTCAAGACATAATGAGTGCTAGAAGAAGCGCATTCACCTAGCCAAGCCTCCCTAAAAGCAGCCACACACACACACACACACACACACACACACACACACACACACACACACACACACACACACACACACACACACCAGTGCCTTACGCTCGAGTGTTTGTCGCGCGTCCTTTCCATATGGCGCGGAGAGGAAGTTTCCCATGAGAATGTACTTGACTGTCTCTGGTTCGGCGCCAGAGTACCCTTCGAACAGCGTTCGTAGCTTGGCAAGCACCTGCAAGAGTGGAAACGTGTGGCGGTGCGAGTATGCATGGACAAGTGCATGTGCGTGGGTGCGCGTGCGTGTGTGGGTGAGTGAGGTGCTTTATATTCTGCAAATAAGCAGCATTTGCACACATGGCCAAGCATGCTCACCTCTGGTTTGTCGAGCCAGACATCCGAGAGAATCACAAACATGCTGTCCTGCGTCATCTCCTCCTCAATGAGGGCAGCCTGCACGCCATGCAGAGAGAGAGAGAGAGAGAAAAATGTCAACGCACGTCGTCGCAAACTCAGTTGGGACAGCTTCCCAACCCACCCACACACGCACGCACGCACGCACACCCACACCCACACCCACACACACACGCACCCGATCGTCTTCTTTAAAGTGGCCGCCAAAGAAATTGGTGCCTGAAAACACATTGCTGTGACAGCAATTAAAACATATGCACGAGCGAGTGAATTTGCATGAACGGAGGGAATGACGTGCAACTCCTACGACGGAACGTTCGCGAAACACGCGTTGCGTACACGCACCCCCCCCACACATGCAAGCATGTGTAGGCGCACTCTGTCTGGGCGCGTGGTTCCGCCGGCGGCGATGCGATGTTGTGCGCATACAACTTCCTGTCCCTGTACACGCCTTTTCCCCGCCCACGCCATACACACACGCATACGCAAAAAAGAAGGTGAAGTCAGCAAGCCAGCCAGTAAGCAAACAACAGCAGCAAGCGGTGCACAAGCGTATGTGTAAGTGTATGCGTATGTGTGCGTGCTTAGAGTAGTGGTGGTACGATTGCAAGCTCCAGCGTGTTAGCGCACCTTCCACGAGAATAATGCTTGTCTCCGTGAGCAGGGCGTCAGGAAACACGGCATTTTGCACCACAAGTTCGACCTTTCCGTCAGGATCCTCAAGGAAGCACTTGTCCTGATGATGATGATGATGATGATGATGATGATGATGATGATGATGATGATGATTAGTGGCGCCAGTGTGATGATCGCAAGACGTGAATGAAAGTGGCCCTTTTACAGTGCAACAAGCACACACGAACGCTCCTACAGATGTATACACACGCACACACACACACTTACACACATATACGTACACGCACACACGCACACGCTCGCCACCGCACCTCTTGCAAGAGACTGATCATGCCAAGAACCGTGACAAGCGGCCCCTTTGTTCGCCGCTGCGCGCGTTCCACAACACCATCCTCATCCAGCTCATTAGCATCCGAGTCACTGTCGTCGTCGTCGTCGAATTCGGAGGACGAGAGTCCCAGCAGCGCATCCACCGTCGTCAACTGCGTGCGTGCGTGCGCGTGTGCGTGTGTGTGCGCGGGAGAGAAAGTGTGAGTGCATATTTCACGTGTGTGTCATCGATCCGTTGTTCACGCATGCATACAATGCGAACAAAGCAACATTTCAATCATTTCAATGAAAACCATAAGCGAGCGGCGTGGCGTTATCGCTTGCGTGCCATGCTCACCTTGATTGCAGCACTGTTTGCACTCGCATGCGTTGCAAACTCTTTGCGACGCAGCAAACGCTGCAGAGAACAGCGAGAGACAGAGCCACAGAGTTGTCGATGATGGATGAAACTTTGGCAATTGAAGCAAAGTGAAGTGATAGACCTGCACGCATCAAAAGAGTACACACACGCACACACACATACACACACAAACCACAAAAGACAGTAACGTATTTGGTCGCGCAAGCACGCCTAACCTGTCTGATGGCGTTGAATCTGTGGCGGAACATGGCTGACTTTGCATCAGCATCCGCGGCCAGTGTTGGCGCCGTCTTGTGCCTGCAAGCACACGAAACGCGCGTGCGTTTGGTCGGTGACAAGCCGTTCTGCATGGGGAGTGCTGGTGCTGCGCGCAACGCAGAAACAGCAACAACTTAAACAACTTAAACAACTTAAACAACAACAACAACAACAACAACAACAACAACAACAACAACAACAACAACAACAACAACAACTTAAACAACAACAACAACTTAAACAACAACAACAACTTAAACAACAACAACTTAAACAACAACAACAACAACAACGTACGGCAAGAAGCGCTTCTTGTCTGGGTCGTAGTCAAAGGCGGGAACCCTGAGGATATATGAGCAGGAGTTGGGGACAAGAGAGAAGAGGAAGGGAAGTCAAGGGAAACAGAGTGGCAGGAGTAAGCGCGAGATGCGTGCTGCGAAGAGTGTAGCGTCAGCGCCAGCAACGCTTCTGTGCATTGCATGAGGTGAAGCGCATGTGTTTCTTTCCGTACTCAAAGGCGTTGACAATCTGGAACATCTTGGTCCTGTTGCACAATCAATCAAACAGGTCAAAGGGTGGGCGATTGTGTGAAAGAGAAAGGGAGAGAGAGAGAGAGAGAGAGAGAGTGTGTGTGTGTGTGTGTGTGTGTGTGAGTGGGTGAATGAGTGAGTGAGTGAGTAAGTGTGTGAGTGAGCGTGTACAAGTGTCAGTGAGAGTGATTGCGAGCCTGTGTGTTTTTGATTCTGTGCCTTTCCGCCTCCGCCATTGTGCTTGTCTGTGCCTCTCTTTGCGTGCCTACGCAAGCCCCTGAAGACACCCTCGAGCAGCAATAGCAGCGGTGGTATGCACGGCAGCATTGGCACAACGCACCTGTCGAGCACAGAGGTCGTGCCGCCGGAATTGTTGAGAGCAGAAAGCACCTGCTCCATTGTGTCTCGATCAATGGCATTGCTCTTCACTACGAACCATGAGGTCAGCAAACCAGCGAATGCGTGTGAGTGAGTGAGTGAGTGAGTGAGTGAGTGAGTGAGTGAGTGAGTGAGTGAGTGAGTGGGTGAGTGAGTGAGTGAGTGAGTGAGCATAATGCACACAAACATGACACATGCATACGCACACACGTGCACACACACGCACATGCACACATGCATGCGCAGAAGCACACGTTGTTACAGTACGTGTGAGTGTGTTGATGTTGTCCAAGACGAGGGAGAGGGCTTTCTGGACATGGGCAAAGTCCTGCTCCCGGGCCACGGCGGAGAGGGCATCCTGTAGCAGCTCTCTTGCCGGTCTAGATCATGCAAGTAGCGCCAGATACATGACAAGAGTGAAAGGGTGGAAGGGCCACACACGCACACACACATGCACGGACAGACAGACAGACAGACAGACAGGCAGACAGGCAGACACACAGACAGACAGACAGACAGACAGACAGACAGACAGACACACATACACATACCGCTGGAGAAGCAGCCCGCTTGTCTTGAACTTGCGGCGGATCAGCGCCCCGAGATCCCGCTTCCCTCGCAGTGGCATCGTCCTCGATGCTGTTTGTGGTCTGCTGTTTGGGATGGTGGTGGTGGTGCTTCTTCCGCTTGAACTTTTGGCGCGCTTGTCACTCACTGCATTTTATGGTGACGCTTTGGTACCTCGATGACTCATCATTCAAACCAACAACCAACCAATACGAGCAAGAGCAAGCTCACACACACACACACACACACACACACACACACACACACACACACACACACACACACACACACACACACACACACACACACACACACACACACACACACACACACACACACACACACACACACACCAGCACCGAGCAAACAACATGGCGTGCGGCCAAAGCATGGGCGGTAAGTGCGGACTCGCGGTGTTGGCTCACGCTTGACGTTGTTCGGTTTTCCGTTGTCTTGTGTCTGCGTTGCTGCGCGTCTCACCTCGCAATCTGACATGTTGTCAACAGCACGACTCACATTGTCTTTTCTTGCGCATCGCAACACAACACTCCAGGCGTGTGCGCCCTGGCCTTCTTTGTCACCATGGGCCTCCTCATGATCGTGCTTGCTTGTGCTTTGAAGGAATACGGGTGAGCTGTTTGCTCTGCGCACCTCTGTGTGGTGTGTGTGTGTGTTGTATTGGATGTGTATGTGCGTGCGTGCGTGTGTGCGTGTGTATGTGTGCGCGCGCGCGTGTGTATGCACTGCGTAGAGTGTTCTGCTGGCTTGCGTGTGTTCTTTGCCCTCCCTGCTGAACACGCAGCTGCACTATCCCTCACCACTACCACCACCACCCCTAACGACACCATCCTCATCTGTTGTGGTTCCTGTTTGGTTGTTGCTGTTTCCCGCTCTGCTGCTTCGATGATATACGCTTTCATGTCCACAGGAACTGGTACCCTCTTCTCGTCTGTAAGTGTCGCACGACCGCCAGGCGATGTTGAACCTGCCAGTGCTGCTGGTCCATGCTGTGTGATTGGTCTTGCGTTTTGGTTTGATGTCTTTCCCCACCACTCATTCTCTCTACTTGCGTCTACACTCACCATGACGTCGCCTGCCTTGCTTTTGCTCCTGATGCAGTGTTGACGTATTTCCTGACCCCAATCCCAGCAACCATTGCGAGGCGCTCTGATTCCGGCTACTCCATTGGTTTTGGCGGGGAGACAAGGTAAGCAGTCGCCGTGTGTGTCCGAATGCATGTCTGCTGTGCGCGTGTGTTGTGCGAGAGTGCGTTGAGTATGTGTGCATGTGTGCATGTGTGTATGTGTGCATGTGTGTATGTATGTGTGTGTGTGTTCGCGTGTGATGTTCCGCATGTGTAGAAGCACACGTGTTTGCCGTTCCATGCACCGAGTTTGAATGAAATCTTCCGACTATGACGACTCACACCACCATCACCACCGTCACCACCACCATCAGCGTGATGTGGGACGTTGCCCTGTTTTGCACGGCCGCTCTCGTCGTATCAGGCTTTGGTGCGCTACATTGCGTGTTTGTGTGCGCGTGTGTGTGCGCGTGTGTGAGTGTATACATTCGTGTGTATGTGTTTGTGCACATTCACGTATGTTTTTTCGAGTTAGGTTGCTTACTTCTGTCAACAAACCCAACTCCCTGTGATCGCTCACGCTCCCACACACGCTCCCACACACGCACGCATACACACACACGCATACACACACACACACGCGTACACACACGCATACACACACACACACACACACACACTCTCTCTCTCCCACGCTCACACACACACACACCACCTATTGTTCTTGTTCGTTCCTTCAACCAAGGCATCCCCCTTGTCCTCTGGCATCACGGCACCGTACGTTTGCAGTCGTTGCACGTGCCTGTGTGTGTATGTGGCTGTGTACAGAAATGATGGCCAAAGATCACACCATTGATCTGTAGGCTTTCACTCACTCACACACACACACACTTTCTCACACACTCTCTCACACTCTCTCACAGTCTCTTACATGCTCATTCACTCTCGCACACTCACGCTCACACTACACACACGCGCGCGCATGTGCAGATTGCGGCCGGCGCGTGTTGGTTGACATTTGGTGGAAACGGTGTCATCTTCCTCTCCATTCTCGCATGTGCGTGCACACACACACACACGCACACATCCTGCTATGGGTGGTTGTTGTGCCGTTTGTGCTGTTTGCTGTGCCTTGAACTGTTTGCTGTGCGTCATTGCCAGTCAGTGTACCCTCAAATCACCCGCCACACACTCACAATCAAATGCACGTCAACACCAGATTTCCGGTACTTTACTGAAGACGATGGTGGCTGGACGCTCATCAACTGAACTGAACCTAGCAATGCTGCTGCTGCTGCTGCTGATGATGATGATGATGGTGATGATGATGATGATGATGATGCTGATGATGATGATGATGATGATCCCTATTCCAACCGAATCAACAAGCTGTCCATACACGACATGCGTGTCATTGCACTGCGTTGTAACTTTGTGTGTGTCTCATTGTATTTGCGTTCACTTGAGTTCATATGCACGCGAATGTTGCTGCATTCGCACCCTTTGCTGCCCATGACTGCTGTTACTTGCCATGCTTCCCCTTTGTTGTATTGTTGCTGTTGTTGACATGAACGTGATATATTCATTACACGACGCATGCGTTGCCTTCTTCTTTGGAACCCTGCGCAGCTGTCACAAATGCAAAACGCGCGCTTTCTGCACACACACACATATCACACATACACATGAACATACACAAATCACATATCACACATACACATGTACATACACAAATCACATATCACACATACATACACACACAAATCACATACACACACACACACACACAACGCTCATGCTGCCCCCACCGAGCGGTGTGAACTTCTGCTCGCCCTGCTCGTCCGGCCTGTGCGCTTTCCTGCGTCGTAATATCCACAGCGCTGCAACTCAAGCTCAATGATGCGGTGCAACTGCTGGTATGTCAGCGTGTTTCGCGCCACAAACGCGTCAGACGTCAGCCGCGTCCCATCTTCCATGGACGGCACACGCACGAGAAACGCCCCGTCGTCGCGATGCTGAACACCACCGCCATCACCACCGACATCACCAACACGGCTGCTGCTGGACGTCAGGTCCGCTCCGCCAGCCTCGCCTGTCCTTTCATTGGCATCGCTGGTTGCTGCTCCGCGTTGCAAACTGTTGTCCTGATCACTGCCGCCCCCGCCACCACCCTGCTCCACTGCTCCGCCACGAGCGCGCATGGGCGTTGGCGCAACGCGCTGTGCCGTCACGGGTGCAGTTGCAGTTGCAGCCGAGCCGACGTTCGCAGTCGCGCTCGGCGTGCCTGCAAGCACGTTGGCGCCCGATGAAGATGAAGAGGAGGAGAACAGGGCCTGTCGCTGCAGGCGCGAGAGGGCGCGAGCCGCCTCCGTGCTGCTGCGCATGGCAATCTCCCGTGCAACCCGCCCCGCCATGCCAAAGTCAATGTCGACGATGGTGCTTGGCACCGCGTGCTGCAACTTGTGCAGGTGGTCCTTCATTGCCGCGCTGCTCGTTGTTGGTCGGAACAGCACTTGCTGGAACCGCACAACAACGTGGCGGGCAGGGTTTGCTCGAGACTCCGGTGCCTGCATGCACACAAACATGACCTTCTTCAGTTGCGTCAGCAGCAGCACAATCGGGTCTGCAACGGGCTTGAGTTTGCTTGCAGGCAACCGGATGATGCCGGCTGCAGGCGCCGTGCTGCTGCTTGGCCGCCCACGCGCCGCACTTCGCACACGTGGCGTTGCGTTGCCAGAGGGCGACGGCGACACCTGCCGCCACGACGGTCGCGTCGATGTGCGCTGGCGCCCAGAGGGAGTGCGTCTTGATTGGTGCTGCTGCTGTTGTTGTCGCGTGCGTGAACCCTGTTCCTCAGACGTTGCGTCATGGGCAGGCAGCATGGCGCCAATCTCCGCCAAGCTGCCGAGCGGGCCGCTGCCACGGTCACCATCACCGTCACCATCAGTGCCATCACTGCGATCGCGTCTTCGCCCGTGCCGCCGCAGCCCCGCCCTCGCCCGCGGGTCCAGCAGCGCAGAGGTGGACGCGCTGTGCACAACGTGTCTGCTGCCGATGCGGTGCTGCCGCCGCCGTGACGCCTCAAATCGCGCCAGCCGCTGCGTTGCTGTGGGTGAGCCAAACACATCCTCCTCCAGCTCGCTGTCATCACCATCATCATCATCGCTGTTGTTGTTGTAACTATCATCACCCACTTTGCGTTGACTCGCCACTGCCTCATGTTGGTTGCCTGCTCTTTGCTCAGTCTCCACAGCGCCATCTGTGTCCGTTCGCCATAGCTGCTCGTGCACACCCGCTTCTCCGTCACGGGCGCCGTTGCGTTCACCTGCTGGTCCTGCGTTGGGATCAGTACCCCGCCCCGCAGCCCGAACCGCATTAAACGCGCTTGTTGAGTTCTGGCGAAACGCATTTCGATCATCACCGCCCCCACGTCCGCCCACCACCACCTCCTCCCCCTCCACGTCCTCCTCCTCCTCCTCTTCGGCTTGCTCGTCCTCGTCTGTGCGCTGCGATGCAGTGAGCAGCCTATCCATGGCCACCTTGGCCGCTTTGGCGTCGCGGCGAAACCGGCGCTTGAGGGTTCGCTCGCGCTCAATCATCCTGTCCTTCACCTCCATTGTTCGCGCTAGAACATCAAGCTCCACCATGATGGCGGGGCCAATCGCCTGGCATACCTGGTGTGTGTGTATGAATGAGTGAGAGAGCGAGAGAGAGCGAGAGAGAGAGAGAGTGTGTGTGTGTGTGATTGTGAGAGAGGGAGAGCGATGGACAGAGAGAGAAAGAGAGAGAGAGTGTGTGTGCGTGTGTGGGTATGAGTGCAAGCTTGTGTCTTGGCTCCTCGAGGTGGGCTCACGTGTACACACGAGTTGATGTGTGCATGCGTGCGTGCGCACGTGTCACAGCAAGAACAGCAACAAACACTGTCGTCGTCACCTCTGTGATGTCGGGTCTGAGGTCTGGGTCTGGTGTGAGACAGACAGAGACGGTTTCGCGCAGCATCTCCGAGCGGGTGGAAGGGATCGGGTCGTATCTGAACAGTTGAGGGATGAGAGTCAGGGGGAATTAGGTGCAATTGGAAAGGGGAGGTGGTTGTGGAGGTGGCGGGGCACATGCAAGCACAGACACACAGGCATGGCACACAGACAAAACACCACGAACAGCCAAGCAAGCAATACAAACAGAACAAGACACGAAAAGACAAGCAATACAAACGCACGTGCCCTCGACGATGCGTTTGGCGAGTGCGAGCATGTTGGTTGTGGCAAACGGGGGGCGGAGCGTTGCCAGTTGGTACAACAGACAGCCAAGCGCCCAGATGTCTGCCTTGTCGTTGTACTTCTGGTTGGTGACAATCTCAGGGCACGAGTACGACAGCGTGCCCACTGACGATTCCATCAGCGTGTTGCCCGTGTTGCGCTGGCGGGAGAGGCCAAAGTCGACAATCGTCACCTTGTCATACCAACCGAGCATGACGTTTGAGGGTGAGAGGTCCCGGTGCACAACACGCTTTTCGCGGTGCATGTAGTGGATGCCGTTGCAAATCTGCACGAAGATGCGCCACACCCTCCGCTCGTCCATGGTCTGCTGCTTCTCCACAAGTGCGTTGAAGTGGTCCTGCAGTGACGCCCCCTCCACCATCTCCATCACAATGAACAGCGTGCTGGTCAGCACGAACGACGTCTCGTACTTCACCACGTTTGGGTGGCGCAGCCCGCCCTGCATGATCTTCACCTGTGGGTGTATGTGAGTGTAGTTGTGTGCGTGCGTGTATGTACGTGTGTGTATGTAAGTATGTGTGCATGAGTGTGTGTTTGAGTGTGGGTGTTTGTGTGTTTGTGTGCATGTGTGATGGGTGACAAGTGTGGGTAGGTGTCAGAGAACAGGAAAGGAGGAGAGGTTTGAAGGCGGTTTGAAGCACAGAGCTTCGCAAGCATGCATAGACACGCAAAGACACATACTTGTACGCACATGAGCACTCACGACACACACACACACACAACACACAACACATAACACACAGCACACATGCACAACACGTACAACACACGCACGACACACACGCACACACGCACACACACGACACACACAAGCGAGCGCACCTCATTCTCGATGCGTTGGATGGCCTTTGCCTGCTCCCCGTCCGTCTGGCCAAAGAGGGCAGGGTTACGCAATGGAATTTCCTTGACAGCGTACATGTGCTCCGTGTCAGCCCGCACGGCCCGGTACACGCAGCCAAATGAACCTTCCCCAAGCTTCTCCAGCAGGCCGTACTTGAGCACGTGCCTGCTCGGCTGCTTGTTGACGTTTGTGTCCTCAACCGCCCTTTCCAACCGCTGCACCGCTGTTGGCGTCATGCGATACAGGTGGCGGACAAGGCGCAGGTACACTTGCATGCCGGGCTTGTAGTGCCCGACGTCGATAAACCACGAGAAGAGGTCTGGCGGGAAGAGCCGCTTGAAGTAGCGGCGATTGCGCTCGGCGCTGAACAGAAACCGCAGCAGCCGCATGGCACAGCCTTGCTCCAGCAGCGTCTGAGTTGGTGGCCGGTACACGCGGCTGTTGCGACGCGGCGTGCCTGGTGGCGCACCAGTCGCTCGTGATGACTGCAACGCATGCCCAACCCCAGCAGTTGCGTTGTTGTTGTTGTTGTTGTTGTTGTCTGTGCTTGTTGCAGGGGTGGCGTCGTGGCCAGACTTGCCTCTGGTTGCTGTCGTGGGTCTGCTGGCTGCCTGGAGGCCAAGGATGCGGGCGGTTGCCGGCGTGACGGGGCGAGATGCGCCAGCAGCGGACGGCGAAGGCAGCGCACCCGACTTGTACGCTTCGACAACCGGGTGAACCAGCAGGCGAGAGGCAACGTAGATGACGTTGCACTCCTGCACCTGCACAGCACCAATCTCTTGCACACACAGCGCCGTCAGGGCAGACATGACTGCGCAGCGGAGCGCTGAGTGCTTGGCGGGGGACGCTAGGGCGATGGGCGGTGGCAGCGATGTGATGGTGGATGATGACACGGGGATGTGGAAGTCACCGCCTTCGCCAATGCTGTTGCCAACACCGCCACTGCCACTGCCTGCTGTATCTCTCACATCACCACCTTCAGCACCACCACCAGCATCGCCATCGTCACGCTCACCCGCGCTGTCAGCGCCACCCTGGTCACGTCCATCACCAAGCTCGTGCACGTAGTTTGCGAGGATCTTTGCCAGCTGCGGAATGAGCCCACTCAGCCGCACCTCGTCCTCAAAGTCTGCGCACAGCCTCTCGATGCAGCCGACAACGGCGAGCCTGACGTCCAAGTCAACCACCTGCAGCAGCTGCGTGAACAGGCGAAGCGCGTCGTACAAGACCATGTCCTTGCGTGCTGCTGCCTGGTCGGAGAGGGAGAGGAGGAGCCGCAGCAGTGCCAGCTGCTGCTCCCCCTGCGCGCGGTCCAGTGCCTGCAGGCACAAGGAGACGGCACTTGATGACGCCATCACCTCGCGTGTGGCGGCGGTGCCGGAGAGGGCAAGGGCAAGCAGGGCGTGTGCGGCGGACATGACGACATCACCGTCCGCATGCGCAAGCAGCGGCACCAGGGCGTGGTCCACACGCGCGTCCATAAACGTCAGCACACTGTCGGGGTGCTTTGTCAGTCGCTGCACGGCTGCTGCCAGCTCCACGCATAGCCGCTGTTGCGCAACACGCGGGTTCCCCAGCAGCGATGCAGCCGTGGAGGACGTGCTGCCCCGCGATGTGTCATCATGGTCGCTTTGGTCGCCGCCATCTTCGCCGGCGTTGCTGTGGTTGGCGGACGAGAGAAGGTCGTTGTCTGCTTCCTCATCCCACAGCGCAGGGCTGCAGAAGTACAAGGCAAGGCTTGCTACCGCAGCACACAGGTCGGGGAATTTGGCCATGAGCATTGCCACAAGCGCAGCGTCACGCAGCAAGAGCCGCAGCAGCAGGATGTACGGGTACCACACGGCGGCATCGGTGACCAGTACTTTGGGCTCGCCACCGTGGTGTGGAGGCGCAGCTGATCTTGCTGTGCCTAATGTTGTTGATGGTGTTGATGTTGTTGTTGCTGTGGTGGTGGTTGCTGATGCAGTGGTTGCTGTTGTCCCGCGCTCCTGATTTGGGTTGGTGCCATGGGCATGCTCCTCGGCGACCTGCTGTCGGCGTGATTGAAGGACGTCCTCTTCTTGCACGGCAAAGACGAGGAGGCGGTGCTCGCAGAGGGCGATGGAGAGCTCCTTGAAGTGTTCATCGTGGGTGAAGGCCCGTCGCCGAGGAATGGTCTTGCACAGCCCCAGGATCAGTGAGTGCTCTGCTGCCACGTCGACATGATGCACGCCATTCTGCGCAGTTCCAATGGGCTGGCGCAATCGCTGAGCAACCTGCGCTGCCGTCACCGCACTTCGCATGTAGAGAAGGGAAGGGCAAGGGTGTATGAAGAAGAGTTATGGGTGAAGAAGAGTGACGGATGAAGAAGAGTGATGGGGAGATGGGTGAGGGTTGATGAGTGATTGGGGGGGGGAGCGCACTGTTGATGTGGTGTGTGTGTGTGTGTGTGTGTGTGTGTGTGTGTGTGTGTGTGTGTGTGTGTGTGTGTGTGTGTGTGTGTGTGTGTGTGTGTGTGTGTGTGTGTGCGTGTGTCGCTGTTTCGCTTCTCTGTTGTTGTGGTGGTGGTGGTGGCTGATTTGCAAATTGCGAGCAACATTACAATTTGCAACACATTGCCAACTCTGGAATGCAAGCAACAAAAACAGGCGGCGGCAGCAGAGCAAAACACAAACACGCTCGCTGCCCAATACAAACACACGCTTGTGTTGAGCTCTCCGTGCGTGCTCGGGTCCTCCTCCCTTCCATCCCTTCCATCCCTTCCATCCCTTCCATCCCTTCCATCCCTTCCTTCTTGTTTGTACCGTTGGCCAAAGATGGAGCGGCAGGGATCTGGCCGCTTGCTGACACGCGTGCCATGGCAGAGCAGGGAGAGCGTGGAGGTGGTGGCGCTGGACCTTTGGCGCTCGCCATCGCGCCCGCTCGAAGACGCCCAGGCACACAGCTTTCGCCAGCAAAAGTGGGCGCGACGCAGCATCAAGGCGCTCCAGTCCCCAGGCAGCAACTTCTGTCCCACTACCCCAGAGGAGTACACAATCGCAGATCAGGCAATGGCGCGCCCGCTCTCTTCGCCAACCACATCCGCATTCTCCTCCTCTGCGCACATTCACCTGCCCAGCCTGACAGAAACGGAATCTGGTGAGCAGTCCCCGCGCACTGCAGGCGCCGGCAGCCAGCAGCACGGCGGTCAACAACCACCTGCGCACCAACACACCTCCGTCCACACCCAACAGCACCAGCAGCAGCAACACCATCACCTGTTCCGGCGCCGCGTCATGCAAGGCCGGCACGGCAACATCCACTCAGAGACAGCCGGGATGCGCCAATTCACCACCCGCCATCACGCTGCGGACCACGCCACAGCTCGTGTGGGCAGTGGCGGCGGTAAGCTGGGCATGCTCCGCCAGCGATCAGATCAGGATCTGCTGCACTTGCGCGCGCAGGGCCCGCCAGGCTCCGCGTCCACGTATGCAGCGGCACATCGGCGCATATCGGCGCCTCTCATGGGATCGACGCCGGCCACAGATGTGCGCCGGTTGCGGCAGAGCGCGGTGTCGTCTGCATCCCCGCGCAAGTCGTTCACCCGGCGCACATCCATGTGGGCGCTGGAAAACAGCGACGAGGACATGGAGGAGGTGGACGCCGTGCTGAGCGACCCGTCGCTGGATGCGGCGGCAGATGTGGAGATGGCGCGCCTGACGGTGGCCATGAATGCCCGCCGTGGACTCATCCGCACCAGATCCAACGCAGGTGATCGTGGCACCATCCCTTATGACAGCGACAGCAACAGCGACAACGACAATGACAACAGCGGCGGCAGTGATGTGGCCGGCAGCACAGCAGGGCTGCATATTGGTCGTCAGAACAGCAGCGGCGGGAGCGGCGGTGTTGCCCTCGTGGAGGTAGAAGAGGCGCCAGAGACACCCGAGCATGCCAGTGGGCGAAGCAGCTCCGGTGGCGATGGCGGAGGAGAGGCGAAATGTGGCGATGAGGCACACGACCAGGTGTCTGAACTGCAGAATCTCTCCCGACCATCGTCGTCATCACGACCGAGAAGTGGACGCCGTCCGCGCCCGAAATCGGGGCTGCGGCGCAACCAACCTGGTCACGGCAATTCGAATGGCGGTGCGAATGGCAGCGGTAGCAACGCCAGCACTGGCGGTGGTGGGGATGTGTTTACCGATGCGGGCCGTGATGGTGGTGCTGGTGGGAGGAATGAGCACACGCGTGCTGAAGACGTTGTGCCGCGCAAGTGCGATGGTGGCATCGACCGTGGCCATTACGATAACGACGACGACGACGGCGACGACGACGACGACGATGAGGACAGCATCATTATGAGCCGCACCAGCAGCATCCGCTCTGTTCGTTCCTTCCGCCAAGGGTCGTTCACGAGTGCCTTCAGGGCCAACGCCAACGCCAACGCCAACACCAACATGAACAGCGGTAACCGTGAGAGCTCTGCAACAATGCGTCGACGCCTGTCATCGAGCAAGCTGGGGCGTGTTGCGAGCGGCAGGCGGGCGTCGCGTCTGTCCACGAGCAGTGTTGGCTCGCGCGCCATGACGGAGATGAGGGAAGGGTCGTCTGGCCTGGACAGCGAGCTCTCGCTTGCATCATCGTCAGCGTCACGCATGGGCCTGCTCCGCAACCACGCTGCCATCAAGTCGGTTGTCTTCCTGCTGTTTTATCTGCTGTTGCTGGGTGACTGACCGACTATTGCTTGTTTTCTTTGCTGTTACTGTTGCCGATGGATGCGGACACACACACACACACACACACACACACACACACACACACGCACACACACACACAAGCGATCGTTGCGTCTATTCACACGTCCTTCATCACGTCCAATCCCATTTGTGCTCACGCTTGTCTCACACTTCACCACCGCCACCGCCATCACGACCGGCATTGTCATCAGGATGTACCGGCAGCTGTGTCGGGGGCTTGACTGCGTGCCCTCGTCTGCGTTTGAGCGCGTCATATCCGATGCGAGCGTGGTCGTGCGGGCACAGGGCATTCAGGACGACGGCGCAACGGCAATTGCACAGGCGCTGGAGTGTGTCGACACATGCGAGCACCTTGCTCTCCCTGAGAATCTCATCACCGCTGACGGTGCGACGGCACTCGCAGCGCTTCTGGAAGAGAACATGTACATACGCTCGCTCGATCTCTCGACCAACGACATTCGCAGCCGCGGTCTTGAGGCGCTCGCACACGCCATCAAGGTGTGCATGGTGGTGGTGGCTCTGCATGCTGCTGTTGCTGCTGCTGCTGGTGGTGGTGGTGGTGGTGATGATGATGATGATGATGATGATGATGATGATGATGATGATGATGATGATGATGATGATGATGATGATGATGATGATGATGATGATGATGATGATGATGATGATGATGAATAATGAATGAATGAATGATGATGGTGATGGTGGTTGTGCATGGTGGTGGTGGAGAGTGGGATGAGGGGATGGCACAAGTTGTGTCCACTTTTTCATGCGTACATTTCCACTCACGTGCATGCATGCGATTTTCCATGCATTTGCGTCTCTTGTGACAGAATGGGGCGGGTCTGAAGTCTCTCCGTCTTGACAGCAACAATTTCCTTGACGTTGACATGTCGCCATTGTGCAATGCGCTTTTGGACAACGACACACTCGCCGAGCTCTCCTTGTGTACGTGTGTGAGGGGATGTGTGGATGTGTGTGGGTATGAGCATTCGTGCACGTGTGTGTGTTGTGTGTATGTGTGTATGTGTGCGGAGCTGTGTTCGCGTATATCGCCATGCCACCCCGTGTTTGCCCATTCATGTTCGACCACGCCCTAATTCAGTCGCACACAATCACATCCACATACACACACATGCACATGTACGCGCAACATATGGACAGCGAACAACCGCCTTGGAAATGCCGCGGCGGTGCAACTGGGGCGCATGTTGGCAAACAACACAGGTGTGTCCTTGACATGAATGCGCTCGTGTTAACATGATATTCTGCGTTTGTGAACATCTGTGCGTGCGTGCGTGCGTGCATGCGTGCGTGCGTGCGTGCGTGCGCTCAGGACAACTACGGGCGAGTTCATGCACCGTTTCACGCACCTCTTACCACCACCACCACCACCACCACCACCACCACCACCACAATCAGGCCTCAGCACCCTTGATCTGTCGTGGAATTGCATCCAAGACGCCGGCATCCGCGCAATTGCGCAATCACTGGAGGCGAACGTGTCGCTGACGAAACTCAACCTTCAAGGCAATGGCATTTACAACGCAGGCGCCGCAGCCCTCGCACTTGCCATCAAAAACAACACCACCCTCACTTCCCTTGATCTCTCACACAACAACATTCGAGACGAGGTGAGAGAGAGCAATGCCTCGTTTGCGGATCTATGTCCATGTGGATGTATGTGAATGTGAGTGTGAGTGTGTGTGAATGTGTGCGTGAATGTGAGTGTGAGTGTGAGTGAATGTGTGCGTGAGTGTGGGTGTGAGTGTGAGTGTGAGTGAATGTGTGCGTGTGTTTGTGTAAGTGAAGGTGTAGGTGTGTGATTGCATCATGCATCTCTGCATCAATCTGTTCTTTCAGCCTCATCGCTGCACATCGCCCGCGTCCTCTCCTCTGTGCTCACTGCATTGGTCATTCACAGGGCGCAGAGCTGCTGGCGTCTGCACTCAAGTCCGCACCGGGACTGGAACACATCTCGCTCGCGCTCAACCCAATCAGCGCGAAGGGTGCGCCGTCTATGCGGAATGGATGCACCATGTGCTCGCATCATTTCAAGAGCCATGCAATCATGAGTCGTGTATCCTAGCTTGCGATGGCAGCGCCCATCATTGTATTCACCCTCACACCCGCTCTTAAACACGCACACACACACACACACACACACACACACACACACACACACACACACACACACACACACACACACACACACACACACACACACGACAACAGGGCTGAAGGCGGTGCTGTATGCGATTGCGGAGAACAGCACCATCCGCTCGCTGGACATTGGCGGTCTCGAGATGGACGAGGAGTGCAGACAGATCCTCAACACCATTCAGTCTGCGCGCGAGCTCAGCACCACCACTGCTGTGCCGTCGACCGCTGTTGCGAGCCAGCGGCCCTCGTGTGCGTCGGAGGTGGACGCACTCCGCCCAACGCTTATCGCACTCAAGCGTCGATTTTCATGTGAGCGCAGTGTGTATTTGTGTGTGTGTGTGTGTGTGTGTGTGTTTTATGTGTGCTGAAGCATTTGGCTCCTGCGGCCATTCATTTCTCTCGTCACATGCGCACCACACTGCCCTGAGTGTCTCTACCAGTTCTTTCTTAAATGCCTGCACACTCACACGATGCCATTGTATTGTCACCACCGCCACCACCCACCATCACCACCAGCAACGGCATCCATCATGTCCTCTCGTCGCCGCCAGTCAATCGCCGCCCAGAACGTCTTTGTCCGCACGTGCGTATGTGTGTATATGTATGTATATGTGTGTATGTGTGTGTATGTGTGTGTGCATGCGCTAGTGTTGGTGCGACTCCTTCTTGTGATAAGTCGCCTTCATCAAGCCGTCCTCAATCATCCCCCATCATGCTCTCCCCGACCGTTACTTGCACCCCCACATCCCCAACCCAACCCCTTATTTCCGTGCCTGCAGGCCACTGGTGCCGTACGACAAGAAGTGGTCGCGGCAGACGGCGTGGGAGAACGGATACAACGCCGACGGCACTGCGCGCATCGACGACGCGTGGCTCTCTGGTCGTGACGAGTTTGACCCGTCCTGGAATGCCATCGAGGCCTGGGAACGCGGGTATGTCACACGTGCCAGACGTGATTGTGGTGATGATGGTGGTGATGGTGGTGGTAGCGGAGTCTGAAGCCAATTCCCAAAGTGGTGATAGTTGCATCACCAGAAGTCGCGTGTAGCGTTTGAGGTGGCTGTGCTTTGTTCCATCTGCGAACGTTGTGTTGCTTGCTGCGTTTATCTCCTCATCCCATTCACTGCTTTCCTCCCGGCTGCCGTTGTGGTGCGATGGTGTTTGCAGATACCACACGGACGGTTCCCGCCGTAGTTCGTCCACGCGAAAGGCGCGACGCTACTCGGTACGCACGCGGCAGGTGTGGCGTGTGTGTATGTGTGTATGTGTGTGTGTATGTATGTGTGTGTATGGTGAAAGTGTGGTTTGTGTGCAGTAGACGTGAATGGGAACAACGCACAGCGTCGGCAACCACTGTCTTGCTCACAGTTCTATGTGCACGTTCGCGCAACACACACACACACACACACTCTCTCTCTCTCTCTCTCTCTCCCGTGTCAGCGCATGAATCTCATCAGCGAGGTGGCGGACATCCGGTCGCTGTTTGAGGAGCACAACGAAGGCGTCGATGCAAGGGACAAACGCTCGTACCTCCTCTTTGAGCAGCGCGCATCCACCACGTGGGTTGATGTCTGCTTGTTGCTGCTGTCTTGTACTTGGAATGATCGCTGTTGTTGCTGTACTTTGTGCCCATCATGCACGTGAAGGGGTGGTCTAAGCTGCAACGCGCGCGCACACATGCGCGCATACACACTCTCTTACTTTACATGCGCGCGCGCACACACACGCTCTCTCTCTCTCTCTCTCTCTCTCTCTCTCTCTCTCTCTCTCTCTCTCTCTCTCTCTCTCTCTCTCTTACTCACATGCACACATACATGCACACACATACATTCACACTCAAACGCACATGCACACACGTTGTGCAGGTTCCGGTCGATGTATCCTGAGCTGGATGATCCGATGGAGGTGCTCGATGACTATGTGCTCGACAACAATCTCCGCCTCACTGACCTCTTCTTCAGGGTACGCACACGTGAATTGACTTGTTTGTTTGGTTTGTGTGTGTGTTGTTGTGTGTGTGTGTGTGTGTGTGTGTGTGTGTGTGTGTGTATGTGTGTGTGTGTGTGTGTGTATGTGTGTGTGTGTGTGCTGTGTTTGGTTTGTTTGTGATTTTGTGTGTGCTGTTTTTGTTTGTTTCACTCCAAACACCCCCTTGCCTCCCACAGCTCATGCATTCACTCAACCACCCCCTCCTTGACCGGTACAGATTGACAAGGACCGCAGCGGGAAAATATCTGTGGATGAGATGGTTCACGCAGTTGCAGAGCTTGGGCTCCGATTGAATGAAATTCAGGCTGAAGAAATGGTCTTTCGTTTGGATCTGGACGGCGACGGAGAGTGAGTTGACACTGAAAGTGGTGGGTGGCTGCAGTGGTGGGGGTGGGGGTTCGTGGCGATACGGTTGTGTGTGTGTTGGTGAAATGACGTGTGCCACTGTCTGCAAATCGTGCATGCTCTCTTCGTGTACGTGTCAAACAACTCCAGCTTGGTGCGCTCGCCTGGTTGCTTCCTGACTCGCTGACAGCCTCAATTCACTCACCACGTCACCTCACGTGGCGTATTTCAAATCCAGGGTTGACTATCACGAGTTTGTGGAGGCGCGAGAGGCGTTGTATGAGGAGAAGCGCGGATACAGGCGGCCCCATCTCTCCGACAGCAGTGATGATGACGACGACGAAGAGGAGGAATGAAGAACGAGGAGGAATGAAGGAAGATGGGGAATGAAGGAAGAGGAGGAATGGTTTTTGAAGTGTAGCTGGGCGTGGCCAAGTGCGTTGGCGCATGTACAGCAAGGCAGCATCTGTTTCTATCGTTGAGAGCGAGTAACGCATTTTGCTTTCACTATGTGCGAGTGAGTGCATGTGTGTGTGAGTAAGTGAGTGAGTGTGTGTGTGTGTGTGCGTTTTTTTGACACGGGTGCGCTAGCGACTCAAGCTTCGTTACACTCGGTTCACTTGCTCTGTTTCCCAGCTCGTTGTTTGCTTTGCATTGCCTGTGTGGGCGTTTGTTGACAATTACACGTTATGCCACTTGATTGGAAGGTTATTCTGTCGTCCTGCTGTGATGTGTGATGGCAAGACGCAAGCACAGGGAGAGTATGTGAGTGTGAGCGACACACACACACGCACACACACACACACACAAACACACACACACACACACACACACACACACACACACACACACACACACACACACACACACACACACACACACACACACACACACACTCTTACAGAAGTAGGACGGTTGCCTAGTGCTCTTTTTGTTATCTTTATCGTTCCTCTAGGTCAGGGTCGTGATGGTTGTGTATGGTGGTCCT